TCCCTGGGGCATGGGGCCCTGCGCATGCAGGCACCTTTGGGTACACATGCCATAGCCAGCCCCAACAGCTGGAGACATACAGTGAGCAGCAACACATCCTCTCCTTGCCCCTTTCCCTCCCTGCTCCCCTGCCAACTAATCTGTACAGCTATAAGGGGATGAGGGATGCCAAGGAAGGAAGAGAGAAGAAAAATAACCTTTCTTAGCATTGCAGTAAACTGGTAACAACACCCTGTAAGCATGGTGGGGTTGGAGAGGAGGATGAGAAAGAGCTGGGACTGTGGCTCTGCAACCCCACGAGTTCGCTTTGGTACAGTTACTAGATGACAGTGATGAAGCAGAGCCCAGCTGCCCTCGGGGCTGGGGGGCTGCAGAGGATGGTGCCTCCCCAGGGCATCAGGCACAGGGAGCATCTCCTCAGGGATGCACTGCCAGTCCCTCACCCTGTAGCTTCACACCCAGAGAACAACAGGAAAGCCAGCTTTGCCCTGAGGCCAAGTGGGAAGAAGATTTACTGTCCAAGCTTAGAAACACACCTGCATCCTAACTTAAAGCATTTCTCAGGCATGAGATGTGCAGTTTGACAGATGGCCTTGTTCTCTGCAAACCCAAGTAGCAGCTCAACTCCGAAGCATCTCCAGCAGGATCTTTTCCACCGCCCCATCACATTTCCAGTCTTCACTGTTCTGCTTTACGCTTATTTACTCCAGACAGAGACATCCTAAAAGCACTATTGTACTAATTAAATTTCAGCCCCAGGCCAACAGCTTGTTGGTAGTTCTGAAATTTTTGTTCAACATACTTGGGATTCAATTAAAACCCAGTTTGTTTCTCCCCTTTCTGCACTTATCTGCCAAGTACTGCATAACCTTTTGATATTTTTTGAGAAGTAATTGGCAGATAAATTCCCCCAGCACCACGAGATCTCTAGCAAATGCACCAGAGCATTAAACTCTGTAGATGAGGAATGAGTTCCTGCTCCTTCTCCCTCCATGTATTCTGACACACTAGGAGGAGTTGAGAGAGTTTTAAGTGGAAGTGGAGGTGGAAGGTCATCACTCTGCTAAGGAGATGCTGTTTGAGAGGACAGGCAGCTGTGTGCTGGTGGGAAATAAATCACCAGCAGAAAGGAATTAAAATAACTAACTCATCACTGTGATTTAACCTTAATTTCTTATAAGAAATCAAAGACCATGCTTCAAGCTTGAGCCTGGATTACCTTGTACCCTGCAACATCCCACCCTGCTCATAAAGTCTGAAGCTGCATTTTACCATTAGCATTAATTTACTCTAAACGGCATGAGCGTAGGCTGTGAGTTTATAAATATGCCAACAAGTAGGGAATCTATTACTCCTAAATAATTTACCACATTGAAGCCGCTTCTCAATTTGATCTTACCTGTTAGTTTCTTGATTAAAGACCTTCCAGTGCTTGTTGACCTGGTAAAATGCCATCTGCTTTCTTCAGTTACACAGCAACAACTCCCCTGGCAGGAGAGGGGGGAACATGGCACTGCTGTAGAGCCCTGGGGAGGGGGATGAATTTCTGAGCAGTGCAAAGAGGGGGATGGAGGAGGAGGTAGCAGCTTGGGGAAGGGTAAGTGATGTTTATGGGTTGGGAGAACCATGGGGTAGCTGAAGCTCATGATATTCACCAGAGATGTCCAGTGTAGGAGACACTATGTCCAGCATGTCTACCTGAAACTGGCTGGTCCCAAGGCATTGGTGATAGAGGCCGCACAGTAATCACCTCTGTGCAGTGCACGGATGGGTCCCCAGCAAGGGTTATTTACTCCTGCAAAACACAGAAGTTTAAATAACTTAACAAAATTTTCAGTTTAAGCTCCAATCATGTTGTCTTCTTACCTTGTCTCTAGATTTGGGTAGTGGAAAAGGTACTTTCAGGGGGAAAATTGGGCATCCACACCAATCTGTGCCAGAGGAGAGCATGGCCATGCAGATGTCTCCCTGAGAGAACCTCTTCCCCCTGCGATACACACCAGCATCCCAGGAGCCAGCCTGCCCCAGGGCCACATTTGGGAGTAACCCACAAAACACCAGCACTTCCCTAAAAAAGGGATGAAAACACCACAAGGGCACCTAACCCCTCCCTACAACCAGAGCAGGCTATTAGAGCTTGGCTTCTGCTCTGTGGTACAATCCTGTGAAGAGCACATTACTAAGATTAAAATAGTGGTACCTTTAAATTAGCAATACTTAGGTCACTGAAGAAGATGATGAGCAACCGCTTAAATTTTATTTGAGACACAAGAGAGGGTGAACCACCCGTTAGGGAATGACTTTGATACAGCCCCTTTTCAATCCAGTCTGGCCCTCAGCTGCTTCTTTGAACTAATTAGTTCAAGCAGGCCTCAATTAAGGAGCTGCTAATAAAGCCTGAGGGATAGTTCTACAGCAATATTAATGTGATCACTCAGCAGTTATTTGTTATTTTGCAGTTTCTGATTCCCAAGGCCTCTGGAGAGCTCTTTGGCCAGTGCTACCCCCAGACCTGCCTCCTCTCTGCTTGCTCAGACCTTGCTCCTCAGCACTCTTCAAACCACGGCATCCATTTTGGGGAGCACGCTGTGATGCATGGCAGATGTGAGCTTGCCAGTCCCAAAGGACTGACTCTAACTTACTAAAACACCCTCAGTTTAGCAGTTAACCAGCCCTGCCCCTTTCTGCCCTGACAGAGCTTAAACGCAGACCCTTATGGGAGGGCACTGATGGCATTGTTTGTGCCCTAAATCGGGGCACCTTCCCAGGTATTGCCTGAGGGAACGTATGTGACTGCAACACCACGTCCCCTGCACCATGGGTGATGGGCAGAAGTATTAAGGACAATCTGTTCTTTTTAATTGTTGTATTTTCTTTAATAACCACCCTGTGAATTGTACTCTGAGTGTACTGTTTCTATAGAGACAGGGGATGCTGCAAGTGCACACCAGCAACCACTTGCTGCTCCTTCAAAAGGGAATGCCTGAAGCCATGAGCCAGGAAGCCTTTAAAAGGTTTCGCCTCTCAAGAAGAAGGTCCTGGGATGGTCCTGGTGCTAATACGATTTTGAGATGGTCAGCGAGGGCTCATGATCCTGTCTGATCTCACAGGCACACTGTGAGTGGCTGCTCAGAGGAAATAAAACAAAAGCAACTTTTTCCAGCCATGCCAGTAAGGACAGGAGCAGGTGGCCACCGTAGGACCCCTTGCTGCTGGTCGAGCTAGGCATGGCACGCCCTTGGCTTGGCCGGGTAGGATAAGAAAGCCAGAGCTTTTGAAGCCCAGGCTGGGGCTAAGTCATGGCCAGGCATGAGGAAACATTCTGCTGGAGTCACTAACAGTGGCTTTTCCCTGTTGCATTAATGCTCCTGGGACCACTTTGGCTTACCCCAGGAAGGCTTCTGCAGTGAAAGGCGGTGGCACAAAGACAGCCCTGTCTCCAGATCCTGGGCCAGAAAGCAGCACAGCAACCCCTCTGTGCTTCCCAGCACCTACTCGCCGCTTGGCCACCTTGGTGCCAGCTCTCGCCGTTCCTCTCATGCAAAGATGAAGGCCAAGAGAGGGTGTTGCTCCTGAGAGCCCTGATGCCCCCCAAGGACAGTGGAGGGTAGTGTGGCTGTCCCCAGGACGCCTGGGCAGGTCACTCTCAAAGGACACCAGGGCTCAGATTGCACCTTCCCTCCCACTGGTGGAGGCTAAGGCTGCTGCCCTTCGGTCACAGGATCAGGCCAGTACTTTTATCCTGCTTCTCACATATCGGACACCTCCCTGCCCGCACCCGGGGACACTCGGCCGGGAGCAGTGTGGGGCACATTACCCCTGAAAGAAGCAGCTCCTGAAGTACAGACCCAGTACTGTCACCCCTACCCCAGGGAAGGGGCAGGCTTTTTGTTTTGCCTTTATTAGTATTCTCGAAGCAATATGTCATTGCTTTAGCAGCAGACCCACCTCCCTCCCTGCTGCCTCTGCCACACATGGTCCAAAGATCTGCTCCATTCATCAGCCTAAGATTTATGAGGTGCAAAGGGCTCCGGTTACCTTGCTGCCCCCAGCCTCCTCCCAGAGACTGCATGAATGAGATGCTGCTGGTTCCTCCCATACCAGAGGCAAAACAAGACCAGAGGAGTGTAAAGCCATCATTTCACCAAACTCAGCTCCTTAAGTCTCTACCAAAGCATGAAATCTTCTGCCACAAGACCCCTTGTGTCCTGTAGAAGTTGAGGGAGGCCCTGCTGCCCGCGGAGGCTGAGCCTGTGTCCCGCCAGCCTCTCTGCACAGCCCAGCTTTGCTCATGTGAGACACTCCAGAAATAGAAAAGGGATTGAAGGTTTTGGCTACTCTGGATTCCTCGGGCCCCCGGGTCCTTCTGCCCCTGGCTGGCACTGGGCTCTGCTCTCCCATCCTCCTCTGTAAAACACTCTTCCCCTGACTGCCATTTCCCTGTCCCTCGCACCTGGCTTTCCTCTCACTTTGCCCATTTCAAGGGGCTGAGCGAGAAGACAGGCCACGGGCTGTGGAGAATCAGCCCGTGAATCCAAACTCAGGAGGACTGTGGCACCAGAGAAACACAGTGATGTGCAGCTTGGAAGAAACTTGGCAGCAACCCTGGGGCCAGGAGGCAGTGAAGGGACCTGTCAGCAGCCATCTGTATCGCCCAGCCAGGCTTTGGGCCAGTGAGCCACCTTTCCTCCTGGCCCTGTGCAACCTCTGGAGGAGGCCAGAGTGATGGTAGCACACAGAGCTTGCTCAGAGCTGGACGTGTCCCCTAACATCTGGCACCAAACTTTCAAGAAGCAGTAAATTAAAACAATTCTCTTTGCAAAGAACCCCCACTATCAACAAAAATGCAGATTTTAAATAGATATTAGGGAAAAGCTAAAAAACATTCAGATGCCACCGTGCAAATTCTGCACCACGTTGATGAGCTCTCCTGTAAGACTGGAATGAGTGCGTCAACCTGGAAAGAAATGTGGAGATTCCCTCACAAAGATCCACATGGATACAGTGAGCAGATAACTGTTTATTATTGCACGTAATCCAGCAGAACAACTGACAGAAAACTCCAGACAGTAGTACACAGATTATAGTAAACAGCTTGCAAAATCTGTGATGAAGGTATTTTTGTGTGAAGAGTGAAATGTATCTGCATCTTTGTAAGACCTGAAAAGTATAACACAATATTCTAGTCAGTTTTGAAAGCATGCAGTTTGAGGTAAATCTGTTATTTTGCATCTAAGAAAACGAAATCCCTAAGGGGCTATATATATGTATATATATCCATATCTCAGCACAATATGGATATATTTATATGTCACATAAAAGCAAATCTACCTACTTTTCTTAGAAGGATACTAGGAGGAAAGCACATTACTGAGTGCATATCACATGCATAAAAAATTGGGGGGGAGTGGGCAGGGAATTACATTATCACTGTCGAAAAAGATCCATTTTTGTGCTTAGTGATAAATAAAAGCCCCTCAGGTCTCTCAACGGAAATTGTCTTGGTGGTTAATAAAAGCAGTTGGCATACTGAAATTGCAGAGCTGGCAAGCGAATGCCAGCAAACGGAGATAAAACGTCAAAGGCAGCAGAGCCTGGGGTTTGCAATACATTTATACTTAAGAAAAGGAAAAAGAAAAGAAACAAATTGCTACTGAACTATGCTCTGTGGAAGTGTAGATGATGCTGCACATCTTTCTCAGGATTGGTACAGCCACATGGCTTTTAGAAAGGGATCACATTGACTTCTCCCACAGTTAACACCACATATTTGCTACTGTGGCAACATTCCTGAGCTGAATAATGTTAAAAAATAAACTTGGTTCGCAAAGAAAAGTACTGAATTAATCTCACTCTCTTATACCATAATTAGAGCAGATAAATTAGACAGGTTTTGCCCTGTGTCTCCAGTCAGTGTAAACCCCTGCCTGTCTGCCATCTTGCCTCTGAAATCCCTTCAGATTGACCTTTGGAGCAGACTGGGCGTCTGCTTTTTTCCTTAACCATCATTTCCCCACTCTTTCCAGTCCCTCAGGTTTTCCCACCCAGTCCTGTGCTGTGGGACTTCAGGATACACAGAGGTGCACAACCGACTATAAATAACATTTCTGATTATCTTGAAAAGGGATACAAAATACATATTGCTCTTAAAAGAAGGAAGAAACATGTCCAAGCACTCAGCCTCACACTAAACTGTAACTTCATCTGTGTCAACTTTCTAAGCTTGCACTGCTAAGGATCAGAGCAGATCATGGTGGAAACATCTCCTTCCAAAGGTCACTCTCTGTTGCAGCTTTGGGAAGAATCGGTGCAAACTGCCCAGGCCTCTAGGCCTTGCACACAAGAACAACAGCTAGAACTGCCCCTTTGTACTCTACCACTGCTGAAAGTCTGGCTGCTGCGCATTTTTGAGCCTAACACCCAAATACACTGGAGTCACACAGGTCTTTGCACCTTTTTTCAATAACATAACCTCTCTCACGACAGCCACCCTGCATCTTCTGGCCGGAAAGTCTGTTTACTGTTGCAATGAAAGAGCACAGGAGTCCCCTTGCAGCCCAGGGCACCTGTGGGCATATGGAGGTATTTTTCTGTAAGTACCTCCTTTCCATAGTAACTTGCAACATTTCCATAGAAAAAAAGGGTAAAGGGACAAATTCAGCACACCTATTTCCTTTCCTGTTACAGCAGGAAGTCTCCCACTGCAAGATACTTCTGGGTAGAGCATTGCTTGGTGGCAGGAGAGCACTTGGACGGTGCCTGGTGCCAAAATGGACACCATGTCCACCCGCAGCACTCCCACATGCACGAACAGCCTCAGATCAGCCAGTCCCTCGCACCCCACCCCGTGGCCGCCCTCCGTGGCGTGTCGGCAGGCATGGGCAGGACTCCGGTTACACTTCAACAAGCCCAATTTCAACTTTCTCCCCCTCTCAGTCCTCCATACATGGAAGACGACTCCAGGCGACAGGGAAAGAAAAGACTCTTTGTTCGTCCCTTTGGATGACTTCCAAGCATGGAGAGCAATGCTGTCCAGCCCTAGCCGTGGCACGGCTCTCATGAGTCATTTTGGTTGGTTGTGTATTGCTTCATCTCCACATCATGGATGATATTCTTTGGGAAATCTCTGGCACCGAGTCAACCAAGGGAGTTACAAGACACATCAGTGTGCACACATGAGACCTTCTCACTCGTTCTCCTACAGCTACAGATAAATCCCTCATCCCTGGTATGACAGGACAGTTGATGGCTTTGGTGAGAACAATTTAAGGCAACTGCTACTTTATACAAAAAAGAGAAGGAGGCTGAATTGCAGAAACCCTGGCTTTTCCTTGGTAGATTGCAGAGGCCAGACGCAGCCTGGGAGCAGGGAGACTGAACTGATCTTCAGGCACTTTCATTTAAGGTTCATGTTGGCAGTGCAACCTTGGGATCTCAAGTCCTCCTCTTAGGTGTTTCCAGGTGGCTGAGATTTAATCCCTGCCAAGGTCCGTGGTCTCCATCAGCAGCAACGCCTGTCCCAGACACAGATGAACGGGAGAGTCAAGGGGGAGCAAAACACAGGACTGACACACAGTCGCAGCTGTCTGCAAGCCTCTCACCTGTGCAGGCTGAGTGGGGACATAACATGACAGAAAGCAGTGCCCAGCAGAGCATTTTATCCCTCAGCAGGCCCTGGGAAGGCAGCCCAATACCCTCACAGAGGCCTGAGAGGTGCCTCTCGCATTATGTTCATGTGAGACCCAACGGTCAGGTTCAGCCCTGATGCGTTTTGTTTGGGCCCAAGGCAACAGAAATCTTGTGCAAACCCATGATGCGTTCCTGTGTGCAAACCCTCATCCCAATTCAAGTGGAAGACCTCAGCAAGCTCCAGTTTCACCTTAGTCAGATACACATCTCAGCTCATATCTACTTTTGGTAACACAACTACATAACAGTAGCAGAACTAGCACTGGTGCAGTTAGAACTGCAAATTTCAGAATTTCACATTTCCTTTGTGTTCCTGCCTCTTGCTGGGCTGAGTGCCAAGAAATATTGCAGTGTAGAAGGTTCCTGGCAGCAGTGGCCATGGAACAGCAACTCGAAAATGTTTCTTGCAGCTTATTTGCAGAAAACAAATTTCAAATTTAACATCACACATTCTTGCACTGGAAGTCTCCATGAATCATGTCCATCCAACTGGGAAGGCAAAACTATACTGTGGGATTGCATCCAATCAACACAGTTCAATTTTTTACTGTGAATAAATGATTTTATGAAAAGAATAGAGAACTATCCACTGAAATTACTCCACAAATCACTCTTTGAACAGACAAGGGGTTACTGAGAATCTCAGCGCTCACTGCAAAGCAACTGCATCTACTGAATAAATGCCCATGCATTTTCATCACCAGGGCATCCATTAGTGAATGATCTGTATTGGCAGTAAAGCCAGTCAATCCTAAAATGTCCACAGTAACATCTACAAAATGAGGATAAAAATCTCATTGCATGTCTTACCTTGTCTGAGGGGCACATCACGTCAGAAAATGTACAAACAGGATAGCCAGACCAATGTTCAATAAGATGACCATGCAGATCACGATTGTGTTAGGTCCCTGAAAGAAAAAAACAAAACAGAGTATTATACACAATTCCAGGTGAGGAGACAGATGCAGAATAATTCTGCTATTCAAAACCACCAGAATCATCCCCTCTCAATGCACATAAATCTGCCACTTAACAACCAGCCTGAATTTCAAACTAGTTGTGTATCTATCAATCCTTATTCCTATTTCACCCCTGAAAACTCCTTCCGGAAGGCTAAACCAGGCTTCTTCTGAGGCTAAAGCAGATTAAAGGAGACCCTGACCACAGGCACACAAACTGCCAAGCTGCTTCCCCCAACTCCTTTCTCTACCCACATCACCACATTTGTAAAGTTGCCATTTTTAAGATAAACAAAGTCATCTGTATGAGATTGCTCTAATTTCAGACAAAAATATTTCCAAACTGTGGTTCTCTAAAATCACATTGGAACCATCCATGTCCAAAGGGCTGCAGGAGGAGAAGCAGTGGGCTAATAAAAAGTCTGGTTTTACAGCTGTATTTGCTAACAGACAAACCGAATTTCAGTGACTATATTTTAAATCTGGGAAATTAGCTGGTGATTCAATATCACAGCTCATCTTAGGAGGTGCCCCTACTGCAAAAGAGTAAAAGTAACAGGTAGAAAAGAAACCCCACTCAGGGTTTTCTTCCCTGTACTACATTTTGCCCCCCCAGCTGTCCAGATGCATGTTGGTTGGTGAAGGGGTGGGAAAAGAGGAGAAAAATGTAAAAAATGCATCAGAAGATGCCTGTTTTTCTCAAATTTTGAAATAAGGACATGTCTGAGAGCATATCTACCCTGGCACAGGGAGGCAGATAAAATAACAGGGTTATGAACGTCAGCCCCAGCAGCCAGGACAGGGCGGGCTGGGAAGGCATCAGGAGAGGGGAAACCAAGAGTCTCCTTCAGCAAGCTTTGGGATCCCAGAAAGAGCTTCTGGGCGCCACTCAGGGCCCCTGCAGCTCTGAGGCCAAGGGCTCTGCAACCCAGCTGGGCCCTTTCAGACCTCCCGAGGAAAAATAAACCAAAAAAAGAGGCAAAGGCAGCTCCCAGAGGTGCCTCCCCGGCCTCTCCCACGTCACCTCTTCGCACTCCTCCGCCTCCTGTGCTGCCACCACTGCCGCCGCTGGGGCTGGGCCCCGCTTGGCCCCCACCTTGGGCTCCGTCCGCCCCGGTGCCCTGGCCTCAGTCTTCTTGTCAGCAGCAGGCTCGGCCCGGCCCGCAGCCCTGTGCTCGGGGCTGGGGCGCTGCTTCAGCTCCTTGGGCCGGGGCGGCTCCGGCTTAGCCTCCACCCTGGCTGCCACCTTCTCCTCCTGCTCCTGCGGTGGGGTGGAGGTGCCACCCCGGCGCTGGGGGTCCCCCCGGGGCTCAGGGGAAGGCAGCTCTGGCTCGGGGAGCGGCTCCTCCTCATAGTCCACGGCGGGGGAGACCGGGGAGGTCCGGACGGCATAGCTGTGGTAGCCCTTGAAGAGCTCGACGTCGGGCTCACGTGCCATCCTTTGCAGCGGCCCGATCTCCATCTGCTCGGCAGGACGCCCCCGGCCCCGCGAGGCCGGCCGGCCCTCACCCTCCGAGGGTGCAGGGCGTCTGGGGAAGTCAGCCAGAGCCTGACACTGAAGATCTCCATCATGCTGGGAGGCCGGCTGAGCAAAATCCACCACTGAACAGCTGGGAATATCTTTTGGAATAACAACCCTGCACAGTGCTCTGCGTGCTGGGACCCGCGCTGGGACAGGGGTCCCTGCATGTCACCATGGTGCTCACAGCAAGTGAGAACAAGAGGGGTGTGTTCCTTATGGGCAGCATGAGGTTGCAAAGCAGCTTGTTTGGAAGCAAAGCACTTGCTTTTGAAAGTGTCTTTGGCCTCATTTTGCTGAATCCAAGTGATGCTGAGGGGTGCAGAAGTACAGGACTTGCTCTGTGCTCCAGAACAGCACAGACCTTGGAGCCATACTGTCCCTGGTTGCCTTGAAGTTCCTCCTCTTGTCTTTTCCACCACAAGGGCTGATGCAGACTTGAGCCTGGTCAGGAAATTGGGATTGGTGCTCCTTTCCCTCTAATAAATCAGCAGTGTGATTTGCATGCTGCTACCTCCTGCTCACACAGGCAATGCCTCTGCTCGGAGGGGGCAGTGGGGAGAAAGAGGGCACTGATTTTAGCTGCTCTGCTCTGCCTGCACGCTCCTGTCAATCAGCAGGTGACCCATTCAGGGCCATTTATTTCTGGCTGCAAGTGGATTATTTGGAAGCCATTTCAACAGTTGTTCAGACTCCTCAAAACAGGCTGCCTGCAGCTCTAGGCTCCTTGCTTTTTCCTGCTGCTTTCTTTTCCTGAATAATTCACACCAACAAAGCCCCAACTGCCTGGAGGGCACCGTTCAGCTCTCATCTTCCTCACCTTCTCACCTTCACCTCCCAGCATGACATTTCAGCAAGGGCTTTGGCTTACATCCCTCTGCTCTAAGCTATTAGGTTTGATACCCTAAATGAAACCCAGGGCTCAATACTTATTAGAGATATGAGGCTTGCTGAGCAGGATTGCCCGGTGCCAGACATAGCAGGGTCTATCTGCCAGGACAGCAGGGAAAATTCAGCTGCTGAACACTGCCAGGCTCTCCTGGCTCTGTGACCAGCAGCAATGAGTCCTAGCAAAATCCAAGGGTGGACTTTTGTCTGTTTGTTCCTGGACAGTACAGCTGTGCAAGAGACATTTCCCTTTGTTGTGCATTTAAGGATTTTAGAGAATTAAAAGAATCATAGGAGAAAAGCATGCATCAGCAGCCTACAAGGCCATTGAAAGAGGCCAGGACCCAAGCGAAGCCCTACATTAAAATGTTGAGAGGATTCAGCACCTGAGGAGCCAGGAGCAGAGGTCAGGCTGCTTCAGGCATTTAGCAATTGTCTCATTCAGTTGCCATGGGTGGAAAAAATAATCTAGCTAGATGTCAAAAACCTCCCATCAGGAATTCCAGTTTCCTTTGCCTCTGTGCTATAAATACCCCAGTATGCAAAGGGTGAATGTGGAGCTGTGAGTGCCCGCTGGGGGGCTTATGTCAGGATCAAGCAACGTTTAGCTATTGTTAAATGAAGTGCCACCCGCTGGCCCACGCCCAGGCCCGGGTGCTATGGTGTTTCCCCACTCAAAGCCAGCTCTGAAGGGCCTCGCTGGGCAGTGGGGAGGAACGGGCAGCTCTCCAGCACAGCATCTCCCCAGCAAGTAAGTGCAGGGCAAGGTGGGAGTACAGGGAATTTAGGCAAATCTGTCAGCATGACTCTTTCCAGCCAAGTGCTGGGTGTTAGCTGTTCCCCTTTTCCACTGTGTGCCCTGTGCCAGCAAGTAGTTCTGGAGACCTGGAGGCACCAAAATCAGAGCAGGAGCGGGCAGCTGGTTTTGCTGAGCAGGAATCAACCTTTGGCTTTTACCCCCAGTTTTGCTGCTGTGATGGTCTCTTGTGATCCTGACTCAGCAGTCACAGGGCACTTGTTCCACATAACAAAGCTGGATAATAAGAAGGACAGGGTAAAAATGTAGGCACTTGGATCCCTGTTTTCTGCTCTGTTATTACCTTCCCTCTCTGGAAAGGAAAGCTTTCCAGGAAGAACATATCTCTAGCTAACTCAGCCTAGGGAAAGGTAATGGCATTCACAATACTGCTTCTAATATTACACTTCCTGCCTACTAATCCTCAGTGCTTGGTCTCACAGAAGGAACTTCCCAAGTGTTTTCCCAGCCAAATAATCAGCAGTGATACTAACAAATAAATAGAGCATCAGGGAAGTAGTATGTGGCATTAGCAATTTTCTTATAGGATATTACAATCCCTAATTAGCCGAGTCTGACAGTGCCTTTGGTGTGAGGCCCCACAGGATACAGGCTTGTGAGTCAATGTACAAAGCTTTCCAAGAAAAGGCCATGAGGGATATATCTACAAGAGCACTGCAAACAGACTGGAGCTCACTGCCTGCCCTGCCTGGTGCTGGAAGGGCTTCAGCATGTGGAGAAACATGAGGGGAAGTTGAGGGGCAGCGAGTTTTTCCTCCAGGCTATGGTAACATATTCCAGGAGCTAAAACAGTGGCATAAAGAGCAAATCATCAAGGGCAGAGGGCTGGTGGAACTTGTGCAAAAGAGGATTTAGGATAGACAGGAGGGCAACTTGTGAAGTTATAAAGCGGGTTAAGCGTTTGAACCGATTCCCCAAGGAAACTGCAAAATCCCTCTTAGAAGATGCCTCTGGTCCTACCTGGCTGGTAGAAGTCTGGGGAGAGCTCCCTGGCCATCATTCTGGCTATACCCGATTCGTTGTTAGCTGCCTGAGCTGCCTGCTCAGACCCTTCAGCTTTGGCTTTGGCATGAGCTGTCCTGTAGAAAGAAGAGGGGACAACAGTGAGCATTGGCTGAGCCAAGATTGTCCCAGCCTGAGAAGCAGACCCTGTTCAGCAACAAAATCAAATCAGCCCATCTGGCATAACAGCACTCAGTGTTTGCCCACTTCATCCCACACTTGAGGAGAAAAGACCAGATTTTCAACAAGGGACACAGATGGTTAAGGCCAAGGCGTGAAGGCTGCAGGTAGCCACGCAAGGGAACAGGGCAGGTGTCTGCAAACAGGAGCATGTTCACGTGCTGCAGTGAGGCAGCAGGTGCTGCAAAACGGGCTTGTCACTGTGCTGCAAAGCACTGAAAACCCAACTCAGAGGAATGCCTAAAGCATCACCACAGGCATCTTTTGAGCATAAGGGGACAATAACGTGATGGCTGAACACTGCTGTGCTGTCACCAGCCCAGAGCTGCCTGCACCTTGCCAGAGGCAGTGTGCCCCTGCCTAGCACACCAGACACATTTTACCCCAAATGTCTCTTCTGTAGCTCTCCGGCAAACAGCACACATTGTTCAAGGGGCTCCTTTACTCACTGCAGCCCCAGGGGGCTGGTCTCACAGGTGCTAGGAAAGGCAGAGCTATCGCTTCCCTCTCAGCTTGGATCCCCGAGACCTCTCCACTCCTTCCCAGCACATCTCCTCCTTGCTCTGTAGGGCGATCAGAGTTATTTTGCTGGCCGGCTGTTGTATTCCTCACATGCCTCACGCTCAGGGCTCTGTGATCTTTACGCTAAAAGCAGGGCTGGCTTTACAGCCCAGCTGCTCACAGTCTAGGAAGGCGCTGACTTCAAACAGCACAATCCACCTTAAATATAAGGGAGGGTGAAGCACCATATAGTCAGTCAGCTGCTTTGTTCCACCTGGGGCTTATGGAGAGCTGCTTTCCCCATGTTTGCACTATGATGCTTGACGAGGCTCCCCGTATCAACTTTGCTGCCTGTAATGGAGCATACACTGCCTTCACATGTGCAAAACCATGCACTGGTGTGTGGACAGTTAGCTAAGCAGTTAGCAGCACTCAAACACCAATTCACTACAAATGTGGTCTTTAGGGTGTCTGATGAGCTCTTTTCAGACTCAGGTTGGTAACCGATCACGTTTTAGGACAAAAAATGAGGAAAGACACAGTTCTTATCCCTGCAGTGAAAATGCTCCAGAGGAATTTTTGGACTGACAGTCTTGATATCAGGATTAATTCTTTCCCATTAAACTGAGATGCGGTATGCAGACAAGACTAGCTTTAGTCTGAATACTTGACAGGTGCAATGAAAAGATGTTAGAAATGCTGTTCTGAGACCCTTAGAAAGTAGAAGATCTATATATACACACATACATACTTACACACATCCCATTTTGAGTAGCTACAGGAAAAGAACTAAACGTAGGGCATTAATCCAAACTGATACAGGCAACAGTGTGACTTGACAGGGAGTCGAAAACACTGTTCAGGGCCCTGTGATAGAGAAGAGGGTGAGGAGCTGCTGCGGCTCAGCCTGTCTCTCCCTAGGATGACATCCCGCTCCGCTGGAGCCATGATTCACCTCCCTGCCCACACTCATATGTTATCTCCCCACTTTCTCTGCAGGCTGAGCTGCCTGGGATTGCTGTCATTCTTGGCCTTTTTATCCAAAATTATTACATCTCCTGAAAAACCCAGAGACAAGACATGATGAGGCAGAAAACAGCAATTTTAAGCCACTGCTTGCAAGCAGGAGGTCTGAGGCAGCTCTGAACAGAGAAAAGCACCTCCTTTTTTGGTAGTATATAATCAGCATGATTAATTCCACTATAATCTGGCAGAGGCCAAGGGGGATGTTTCTGTGCTCTCCATGCCTGGGGGATCAGAGCAGGCTGGGCGCACTGTGCATGGGGCACACAGGCTGCGCGGACTTGGCCCTGGGACGAAGCTTGGAAAATGAGGATCCAGCTCTCCCCCCACTACCCTGGGGATGTGAGCTGCATGGCAGCTTTGCCAGGCTCCCTCACTCTGTGGGACACAGCCAACCTCTGCTCCAGTTCCCCTGCTTGCAAAGTTGTCCAGAAGTGTTTGATTTCGGGGGGACTGAGACCAACACAGCTGCAGCTTCAAATCCAGCGTCTCCCACACACCATGTTCTGTCCCTGCCAGCGTCCCAGGAAGGCTGTGGCGCAAGGGGTGCTCATGCTCTATGCTGAGTCCCTCTGTTGCTGAGACCATTTATTACAGCAGCAGACATGTGATGAACATCTGGCTTATGGAGATACAGCATGGTGTTTTAAGTACATCTCCCCTGGCTGCTGAGGTGCTGAGCATCCCTGCGGCACGAAATGAAGGCATTGCTGCTTCCAGCCCTCCAAAAAGCCGGGCTGAGGGTTTAGTAACACCCTGTCAAAGCACAGCCTAGAGGAAAGGGCCCAGCCATAACAATAACATCTAACTTGCTTAGAGTATTTCTGAATTTATTATTTATCCAAATGGCTGGCAGTGCCTGGGAGCTCAATGCAGAGAAAAACTTGGCCCTGGCTGCAAAGCAGGAGACAAATACCACTCTGGGAGAGCCCAGCACACACAACCCACAGCACAAAAGTCTCTCCTAGCTTATGGCCTGGGGTCTGCAAGTAGGTTTAAAAAAAAAAAAAAAAAAAGCTCAGCAGGTTTGAGTGAGGCAGGAAAGTGATTTTTGAACCTTAGACATGAAACATGTAAGAGGAACCATTTCTTCCAAGGTTAAGTTCTGCTCAAAAAAAAAAAAAAGAATCAGCTTTTGCAAAAAGGAAGATGACAGCCTTTTCCTATATGCATGTAAATTTGATGCTTTTTTATTTACTGCTAGATGTGCTGTCAGCTTGCAGTGCCTCTGCAGAAAGCAGCCTGTGCAAAAAACAGAGGAGAAAGTCTGGAGGTGGAGGAGGGCAGGGTGAAACTGAAACAGAGACCCATGGATTATATAGCACCCAGCAGCAGAATTCAAAAGCCTCTTTTCAAGGTAGTGCTGGAAAATGAGCCACAAACATTAAACACATCCAACTGGTGGCAGTAAACACAAACAGGAGCCTTTACAAACCAACACTGGTGCTTCTCCTCCGGAGCAGGCAGCACCACCTGAGATGAGCACTCCCAGTTTCATCCTGAGCCATCTCCCTAGGCAGCTCCATTAAAAATAACTCCGGTGAATTCCTTGCAAGGAGGAGCAGCAGCCCCACACCAAGCCAAGGGGAGGTATGTGGGCAATGCCTGCAGCCCCCACCCCAGCCTCCCAGCAGCACTGGCTGGGTGGTGGTGGCTGCTCTGGGCAGGGAGGCTTCACACCCCAGCTGGATGGGTGGGAGAGGGAGGGTTAAATGCATCTGCTGTTTTATTTGCTCCTCTGGCATGGCTCTAATGCTCTAATTGTTTTGGTACTAGTGCAGGACTGAGCACCACTCCCGTCCTTCCTGGCCTTCTCCCAGAAACACTGCCCGAATCATTCCTCCAACTGCTACTAAAATCCCCTGTGGATACACAAGCCACAGCTGAGCACCGTGCTAACAGGTGAGACCCAAAGCCAAGTCAGCGCATGCCTGTCTCTTTGGACAGTTTATGCGGTTTTGAACATCCACATTGGATTAGACTGTAAATGAGATTGGAATTAGCAGAGAATACTGCGAATACTAGACAGGGCTGGGGCGCTTGCAGGTGCAGCAATGACCTTGCAGCTAGAAATAGGGGAAAAGCTCAGCTCTCTCTCAAGCTGTTGCACATTTGCTTATCAAGGGAAAGACAGACCTGTCTAGCACTGTTCTTCCTTCTCCAGAGTCTCCCCTCTCCTATTGATTCAGCAAACCCTGAGCAAGAACCAACTGAACACCTTTTTCTTGCCATTCTTGATATCATGAGCTGTCAAAACGGCCATTAAGCAAATATGATTCATCAGTCAGCTCTAGGAAGGGTGACTTCTGCTAAACTCCCATCTCCTGGAAATTGGCTTTTCCACCCCCAGCCAAATCCCTGCTCCAGCATCCAGCAGGAATCATTTTGTCCTTGCAAAGAAGCTCAAGATAACGGTTTGACTTGGCAGGAATGTTTGCAGCACTCAGAAGGGATAGAGAGAAAGCTGCAGAAGTGCCTTTGCTGATGGCAACATGGTCTGTTCTGCATTCACATCACAAAGGGCAAGGACACACAGACCTGACCAACACAGACCTGTGTTGGGGGTTGGACTAGATGACCTTTGTAAGTCCTTTCCAACCATTCCAATCCATTCTGTGATTCTATGACTGGACCAGGACAGACACTTTCTGCTTCTCTGTTTTGAACTTGAGGCACCTCTATAGTTGGGAGCATCCCTTTCTTCCTGCTCAGTTCCAACCCACCTCATCTCCTTTGTGCCTCCCCCTCTGCCTCCGTGTGTGCAGATACCAGCAAAGCTTTGCTATCCTCATTTGCCTGTAACTAGCCCATGGGACTGAATGTCTCTTTCAGCTCATCTCTTGTGCTACTTTCCCTGCCCACAGTCAAGCGCAGCTGTGTATCCCACCCCACAGGCATCCTGCTCTGAGAGCCAGCTGTACCTTACACCCTCCTTTTGCTCTTTTTACTCCATTACTCATGTGCATGTACCCACTCAATTTAGACTCTGACATCCCTGAAGTGAGTGAGTCTGTTGGTTTATATTATGGACTCTGCACCTGCAAGGTGAGATCTAAATTGTGCATAAACCAACACAAACTGCCTCATAAAGGAAACACCTCCACACCGCTGTGAAAGAAATCTAAAAAGAGAAGCTGTCCTGCCCTTGCAGAGCAGTTCTGCCCTCCAGCCTTCCTTGCAGCCAGCTCACGAGATGCCCCAGGCTCTTCACTCATGGTACCAGCACTTAGACAGAAGTAGTGGCACTCTGTACGTATCCAGGCTACCTAGCTGCATAAATCTGATCTTTTCTCCTTCCCTCCACAGAAAAGGCACAAACAGGCCACTCAGCTAGAAGAAAAGCATCCTTTTCTGTGCAGTGCTTCAGAAGCAC